AAATCCCCAGCCTCTGCCCTATTGCACTTTTTCTTAATAATTCTTTCCTAAGATCTCCACTTTAAGTAAATGGCCCCTTGCACGTTTTTTATTGGCAGCAGCAAATATATAATAAATACATTTCTTTATCAAAGTTTACCTTGAAGTAGTCCTTGCAAGATTTTGTTTGAAATTTGGTAGACAAATTATTCATAATTGAGCAAGTTATTGATTTGTAGAGTATTTGTCAAATTTTTTATATTGTTGAATATATAGGTGTTTGTAAGTCCTTTGTGTGTTGTTGTCACTGTAGCATGATCTCAAAAGAAAAGTTGGAAGGGTATTTACAGAATACATTCTTTATTTTACTTCTTTTTTAGGGCAGTAAGGCATTTCAGATGTATTTTTGTCTTGCTTCTCACATTATTTCTTCTTAATGCTAATTATCATTAAGTAGATTGGTTGTTGGGTCATATTTGACACAGTATTCTTCTCCAAATGCCAGTATTCATCAGGTTGAATGAACATTAAGAGATAAGAGTATTATAACCATAGTACATCTTACTCAAAATTAATCTGCACTCTATCTAGTTTTATTTCTGTTTAACCTTTCTTAAAATATGTAATTTAAAGTTGTTCATTTATATTGCTATTTCAGTTGCTTTTGAAACCAAGAGTACTGTTTCTTTTTTCTTTCTGCCAAGGTTATTGCTACTGATATAATTTCTCCAACTCTATTACTATCAGACACCCCTGTGAACAAAATTAACCTGCCCACAGAAATGGTATTCTAGTCTGATAATAGTTTGATTTGCTGTCTCATTATTGATTTGTGCACCAGCTTTCTTGTTGAAATAGATAAGTTCCTGACGGGCCCATTATTGTGAAGACCTCGAGTCAGTGCTTTCTGCAGCAGGTCTGTCAGTCAGGCTTTGGAGGGAGATAACCCTGAGCATGTATGCTATCAGGTCTTTGTCATCTCTGAGTTTCCTCCTGCTAAGACATTCTGTTAGCAGTTATGATCTAGACATGTCTTGTCCCCTGATGCTCAAAATGGCATCTGTGGATCATGCATTCAGTGCTTACGAAAAGCTGTTGGTGTCAAACACACTGACTGCAGTGTTACTTGCACCATGAAGGAGAGAAAATTAGTGATTCTGGCACCATTCAAAAGTCTTTGCTTTAGACATTGGATGTGAGGTAAGAAAGTGAGACTCTAGAACTCTCCTGCCTCTGTTCGCTTATGATTACACCTAGAGTGGAGTAAGTTCTCCAGCTCCCAGGCCGAAAGCTAAGTTTGCCTCAAGGGATTGTTGTGCTCTCCACATTAATGTGAATTCTTGGAACTTCCCCATCTCCTGTTATGTGGTGTGTTAGCAGACCTCTTGAGCTGCCATCGTGGGCTATCTTGAGTGAGAGGGCTCAAACAGGATTCTAGTTTTTCTCCATGAAGCTAGAAAGTCAAGGTGGGTGCAAGTTACTTTGCTTTCTGGTGAGGGCTGTTTTCACAGACAGCTGAGTTCTTGCTGTGTGTTCACATGGTAGAGAAACAACGTTCTCTGGTGTCTTTTCTTGAAAGGTTCTAGTCCAGGATTAGGGCCCCCTCAAGACCTCACCTCTACCTAAGTGCTTCCCAGAAGCCCCAGTTTCCAGACACTATCACACTGGGGCTAGGGCTTCCACATAGGAATGGTGGGGGTCAGGAACAGTCCCATTTATAACACAGAGCCAAGTAAAATGCTTGCACAGAAAGGCATTCATTTACAGCCAGCATAAATCCTCATTATCTTGAGAGAATATCAAAGTGATTATTTTTTTTCTTGTCAAGGATCATGCTATTCTTTAGGGCATTTTGTTTTTCCAGAAAATGTCAGCTGTCTGGTTTTCTAATAGTGTCTGATTTCATTTACTACTTGACTGAAGCATGTTGGAAAGAAAAATGTTCATATGTGCAACAGAAATGTACAGGCAAGTTCTTTAAAGGATTAGCTGATTGCCGGGATTGTACAGGAATACTATTTCAAATTGTTCCAGTATTCTTAGAGACCCGTTGACCTCAAGTCAAATCAGGATGTGAATGAAGGTTGGTTTGGTGGGTTGTGTGATCTGCCACCTTCTCATTTGCTTATTGACAAATACACCATATTTCTGTTTCTTTAGACTGTCTGAGTATATAAAGATCTGGTCCAAAGATGGCCTTTGTTCTCTTGACCTTTTCTATTTCTCTGTTTTCTTTTCTTCATTTTGGCATGTAAGTGATTTTATGCTGAAATTGCCAAATGAAATTTTGTGACCTGGTCAATGGGAAAGAGGGTAAAAAGTCATATTTTTTTATTAATAGCACTTTTTTATTAATAGTTCTAACTATAGATAAAATGTCTTTGATTTTTAAAGTGTGTTACTTGGTGATTTATTCTAAGTCTTTGACATCTATATTAGTAGTTTATGTCTAATACTATTTGATATTTTCAGTCTTTTGAAAAATTCTAAGGTATACAAAGATTAGTTTGGCCAATATTTTTTGAAGAGTAGATATATTTTAATTAATATGAATAATTATATTCCTTTATACTCAATGTGTTAAGAAAAATAAAGTCAACTTCTTTTTTTGGTAGCTGTTGGATACAGTGTTTTCTATAATTTGCTCATGAAACTGCTGCGACTTTGTAAATAGAAAAAATCTAAGGGGAAACTTGTAGGTCTCCTTGTATCTTTGTGTATGGTGCTACGAAATTTAAAAGATAAGTGGGATAGACTGTGTTTAGTTTTCATAACTCAAATTGTTGGAGAATTTTATAAAGTAAGTCTTGTAGGCCTGGCATGGTGTCACATGCTTGTAAGCTCAGTACTTAAGAGGCTGAGGCAGCAGGATCACTATGAATTTGAGGCCAGCTTGAACTTCATACCATAACAAGACCTTGTCTCAAAACAGAAATAAAGTTTAAAAAAAAAAGTCTTTAAAAATGAAAATGTTACTTTTTTTTTTTTTTTTTTTTTTTTTTGGTACCAGGGATTGGATTTACAGCCTGGTGCTTGCAGGCGAGTGCTTACATCGCTGAGCTAAACCCCCTGCCCAGATGCTACTTATGTTAGAAGACGATGCCTTCTGAAGTTAGTTGGATGTGGCACTTGATTAAGTAACTTTAATACCTGAATTACAAATTTTCAGTGCTACACTACTTTAGCCTGATTTTGCGAAGTCATACAACAGAAGTTTGCTGTCACTTTTATCCCACTCACCATGGGGAGTTGGTACATTACACATTTTAATTCTGTTTTCATCCCCTCCCTTCCTTAACCTCTCTCCTCCCTCCGTCTCTTGATTCCCTTCCCTTTTGCAAAAGACCTAGCTCCCTATTTTCCAGTGTCTGTTATTTTGCTATTTACATTTTGGGTTTTTGCCCCAAGGAAAAAAGGAAACTTTCTACATTGTTGGTAGAAGTGTAGAATAGTACAACCATTACGCTAACATTTTTATGATCCATTAGGATTTCAAAGACCTTTTTATATACATTGTCTTATTTGTTCCTCAAAAAAATTTTATAAAGTAAGTTAAATGGGCAGTATATTGTTATTTGAAAAATAATTTGCCAATGAGACATAGTTGGTGACATATTTGATATATAAGTCTCTTTTTTATTTTGGCTTTTCATTGTGAAAAATTTTGAATGTGTAACAGTAGAAATATTGGATGAATCCCCATATACCCATTCTAAAATGCATTTAAGCCTCTGTTAGTAATTTATACGTGCTACATTAGCTTTACCTTTGTTGTCAAACATTTTGACTATTATACCTGAATATTTTAGTGAGTATATGTCTCTTTAGAAGGGTTGTTTTCTTAATGAATGCAATGAAATTGACATGTCCAATACAATTAGTGACAATTCCTTAATAGCGCAAAATGCTCAGTGCATATTCAGATTTCTCCATTTGCCTGCAAAATGACTTCTTACAGCAGTGTGCTTGAACCAGGATCTACAACCAGGTCCACACATGGCATTAGTCTACGTGAGCCCATGGTTTTGGAGATTTGAGTCTATGTCGTAGTAATAGGCCCTTCTCTTTGTGAGGCAGCAATTGGGGCCACACTTTGTGGCAGGGCAAAGTCTGTTCACATCTTCAAAAGAGAAGAGGAAGGACCAGCACCCTGTCTCAGGTCCCACCATCTCTTTCACCTTGATGCTGGGAGGTGTCCACAGAGTTCAGCAGAGGATTTAAGGAGAAAGCGTAGAAATCTCTGTGTGCTTTCCTGCACGCAGAGTTCTGGTTCCCTAAGGCGCAGTATTGCTTGCAGTTTTCTTTGGTTTTCATAACTAGTTTATTTGAGTTCTTTCTACAGAAAATAGTACGTAAAAGAAATGAGTTGAAACTAGAGAAATACCGTTTAAAAGCTTCTCAAATTGGAAAATAAAAATACACATAAAATAATAAAATGTTTTAGGTTTGCTGAAATACAGTGGTCAAAGTATACTCTAATGTAGCACCGTAATTAAGTTATAATGAATTGTATTCTTGTGTTTCAAAGGCAGATACTTTTCTGTCCCCTCCAATCCCAAAAGAATGACTGCAAAATAAAGGAAATTGGTATTCCTTTTTAAAACCTGTTTGCTTTTCCTTAGAAAATATATATTTACATAATTGCATATCTGAGCCCATTTCGGAAATGCATTTATTTTTTGTGTCTGTCTAAGTGTTAAGAAAGTACACTGTGGCAGCAGTTTATGTGCAGTACACTATGAGACTGAATGAGTAAAATTTCACTAAGTAAAAACCTAAGAAGCCTGGCCTATTTTTGTATTTTTACAACCTAACTACGCATGCGCAAATCTCATTTGTAAGAGTCTAATCATGCCATACATCTTGATGGAAGGAATCGTATCAATGGTTCAGGAAATTCAAGTGGCCTTTTCTTTATTCCCCTTTGGATGGGTCAATGCTGTCAAGGGCATTCCTTAGACAAGCGTGAAGTGATTTTACTTCAAGAGTTACTGATTCATCCTCTCTCTGTTTTACCTCAGGTGGATCATTCATGCTATGGAGTATGAACTACAGATCCGTGGCAAAGACAAGCCATCCATAGACTTGTATCAACTGTCACCTAGTGAGGTTAAACAGCTTCTGTTGGATATTCTGCAGCCTCAGCAGAGTGGAAGGTAACGAGGACCCTATGTTACCAACAAGACACTCTGAATATACAAAGCATCATACTTCTTAGCTAGATGTATGAAATTAATAAGATAGTAATAAGAAATAAAACACAGCATAGTATAGGGCTTATGTTACTGAATGTGATATAAACAGCTTAAAATGTATGTCTTTAATTTTGTGTTAATTTGAAATTTATGCTTTTTCAGGTGTGTCTTTAAGCATTTCCTTTTTTACTATTCTGTGCAAAATGTAATACTTTATGCTGCTTTGATCAATTCCCATGTATATCATGCAGCAGCTTCTCCCAGTCTTCTGGCCAAAGGGATTGGATGTGGTAACATTAGCTAAGTAGGTTGCCTGTGACTCTTGTTTTCTCTAAATAGACTGTAATCACTGGGACTAAGAACTTCCAGAGACTTCCCTTGTGCTATCCCTAGGATAAGAACAAAACAAGTACTTAGGGGTTGTATCTGAACTGAGGACTGAACTTTGTTGAATATACCTGTAATAATATTCTAACAGCTGTTTTATGCATTAGACAAGTTAATACTGAATTTCATATGAAAAAAACTGACATGCAAACATAACCAGAAAACATAAAGGAAAGATTTGTCATAATAAACATTAAAACATAGACTCTTTATTTAAAACAATATGATATTGGTGTATGAATAGATGAGTAGACCCATTGCAGATAAAAGAAACTCTAGCAGTAGATCCCCCAGTACTTACTTAAAAGTTAGTATATGAGGAAGGTGACATCTCAAATCACTGGACTAAAGATGGACTTTCTAAATGTGTAGTGACAGGACAACTGGATAACCATTTGCAAGAGAAAATTGGATACTTTATATCATACACAAGAATCAACACCAGATAGATTAGAGATCTGAATATAAATAATAAACTTATATAAGTGCTAACAGAAGACACAGGCAATTTTCTTTTTAACTTTGGTTTGGAAAAGGCTTTCTAACACTCAACTCAGAGGCAATGAAGAAAAGATTAATAGGGTAATAGTGTAAAACAATATTTTGTATAACAAAAGATAATGTCGTGAGACAGCTGAACAAAATATATGCCCCAGAGAGCTAATATCCAAAGATTCTTAAACATTGGAACAACCACCAAAAATTCAAGATATGAATGGGAGAAAAGTGTGACTAGTAAATTCATTTAAAACATATAAGATGGCTTTTAGATACTGAAAAGATACTCAAACTCATAATTAGAGCAAATTAAATGAAAACATGGAACCATTTCTAATCTTTAACACTGGCAAAGTTTCAAAGTATAACAAACACTTGATAAGACTGTGGCAAATAACACTGTCATACATAACTGATGAGTACAGACAGTAAAATCCAAAAGGACTTCTCGAGTGCGCTGCTCTTCACGGAGAAACAAGGAGATACAAAGAAATATTATCTTACCTGCGCATTTGTGTAAGAAAAATGCAGGAAGGAGAGATCAGACACTAGTATGTTTGGTCACCTCTAGAGAGTTGGACGCAGATGGAGAGGAAGGGGAAGTGTGTGCAGGGTGGGTAACAGTGCACCTAGCAGTGACAGGGAAGCTAGCGGTACTGCAGTGGGCGACATTACCACCGAGGACCCACGGGAAAGTATTGCTTTGACTGCACATGGTAAAACTAAGGAAAAAGAACTGCACACAAATACTGTACTCAACAAAGCTTTTCTCGCTGATGTATAGATGAACATTTCCAGACATGTAAGGCTGGAGATTTAGCTCAGTGGTGTGAGCTCCTGCCTGGCAAACACAATGAAAATTAGAGTTTCCATTACTAATGGCAGTGTTATAAATAGAGGAAGAAGAGAATGCAGGCTGGATTGAAACTGGTAATGTCTATATGGATTCAGGATTTTTAGACAGACACAGAAGTGACTGTATCTGTGTATATACATTCACAGCCATTGTTTCTCGCCCTTTCTACTGAGATGACCTAGAGACGATGAAGCCCTGATAGTAATGATCACATAGAGTACCCCGATAGTGCTTCTAGACATTTTGTTTCATTTCACCTTGTCTTATTTCGTTTTGTTTCCTGTCATCATTTGGTTTTGTCTTAGACTGGTCTTGAACTTACTACGTAGCCAGGTTGGCCTCAAACTCATGGCAGTCCTCCAACTCATGGCAGTCCTCCCTCCTCAGCTGTAGAAGTATGTGCCAACACACTCAGCGCTGTTGCTTTCTAAATAGCGTTATCTCATGAGCAGAACCAACATCCTTGTAGAAATGATTGGTTTCAAAGCAGGGCAGGAAAAATACAAGATTAGCCTGAAGCACCTTGTGCCAGAAATTAGAAAATCTCAAAGTATGTGAGATGTGTCAGTGGGGCACTGGAGATAACTGGACGGAGCTCTTGTGACTAGAGCTGGGACAATTTGAGCACCATAACAAATAAAGATAGGATTGGATTGTAACACATAGATAAATATCCCAAAGTACATGTTGCTGTGAGTAGTGGGAGAGAAGGGACTGTTACTTTTAGCAGAATGCTAATTAGTACGTGTAGATAGGATACTGGAAATCGTGATTTGGCAAGTACAACAGTAATAATTCTTGCAGGTAAGGCCATTGTAGGGTGGAAGTAATATGAGGAATGAAAAATGTGTATAGTTTAAAATTATTTACACTCAAAATACTCATGGCAAAGGCAGGGGGAGTAATTTCACAGTGGAGACACTGAGCAGACTCTTACCTTGCAATTAAGATTAGCATCTCCTGTGGTAATACACATCAGTATCAGTACTCATTTAAACGATTGATTGGAAAAAATACATCACTTCCAGATTTTCTTGCCAAAAATTCATAATTTTACTCTTGTCATAAGAAAACATCAGACAGGGGCTGGGGGTTTACCTCAGCAGCACAAGCACTTGCCTGGCAAGTGTGAGATTATGAGTTTGACCCCTGGTACCAAAGGAAAAATAAAATCAGACAGCCCCAAACTGGAGAAAATCCTGTAGAACAACAGAAATGTCTAATGTGACAAAGTCATGAAGGAGTAAGGAAAGGCTGTAGACGCACCGATTAGAGGAGCCAGCCCCGCTCTGAGACGTGGGGTCCTGGACCCAAACATTAGTGGTAAATTTGATGAATAAAGTCCATAGAGCAGTGTTATTATATTAGTGCTCATTTCCAGGTTTCAGTACATTTGCTGTAGTTATATAAAAATGGAATAGCTGAGTAAAGAGGATATAACTTTATGAACGTGTCTTTGTAACTTCAGTCTAAAGTTTTTCAAAATAAAATGTCAAACAATTAAAAAGCTATTTCAAAATAATTCCTACCCTCACATTCCCTTTATATTCTAGGAACACATCTTTGAAAGGCAGGGTGTGGGGTGTTTGTTAATCACCAGTAGCTCCTACACCTTTGCGTCACTTCAGAAAGCTTTGCACTCACAGTGTGAGTTTAGGTGATTAAAAGAAACTGTGTACACCGGAAGAAGATGCCTCTTCTTATGAAGTTATCAGATTTCACCGGCCCTCCTCACAGGGACAGAAAGTCTCTTCTGTTTACTGTATTCTGCGTAGCTGGGTCACACCTGGAAACATCGTTGCCATGACACGCCTCCTGTGTGTTGTTACACGTCTCACCCTGCTGCCTTCCAAATGCCAAGTGTAAAAAGCATATGCAGACCGGTTCCTCTCTTCAGCTTTTGCAAGAATATACTACTGCATCACTCTGTTCTTTAGAAATATGCAAATTCTACATCTTTAGCAGTTTGTGAATGGTGTATTGTATCTATAACATTTCATCCACGATAATAAGCAACCTAGAATTTTGACTTATCACTATGTTCGATAATTATGACATGAAAAATTTTATATCATTTTAGTGTCAGCCGGGAGATACTAGCTGTATTTAAATACCAAGCTTTTATAAAGTTTATAAATTACAAGGTAACTTTATTATATATAATGCTTTTCAAGCACTTCCTTATTCATTCATCAAATATGAAGCACCCTTGTGGAAAACATGTACAGGAATGATGGAGGTCTGTGATTTCTGTGCTTGCACAGAGCCTATGTTTCATTGTATGTGAGAACAACAGAAATCTAGTATGAAGTTTGTCACTCCTGTTTGATTTTTCTGTTTTCCTTAAGGCTGTTTGTTTTTAAGTGGAACTACTTTGTGTTGTTAGAAAGTCATTTGATCATATAGTGAACAACTCATAGTTTACAAGAGAATAACATTTTGTCTATTAAATGTTTTAAAATCTTTGAGATTTCCAGGAACCAGGGATTTAGCTCAGTGCCCTAAGTACCTGCCTGGCAAGCGTAAGGTCGTGAGTTTGATCCCTGATAACAGGGGAAAAAAATCAACCAATGAATAAATATCCTAAAATCTTAGAGATTTCCTCCCTGGCTGCAAGTTCCATGCTCACTATGAAATATTTACTGACCTTTGTAACACACTGCAGATGAGTATCGTCGATGGGCTCAGGCTTTCATTGTTTCCCCTCCTGGGACAGCAAGTCCTCACTGAAAGCCTTGTTCTGTGCCAGAACAGACGTGTATGTCAGTTCTGAGGCGCGTTCCTTCGGCCTGCAGGTGCTGGCTGAACAGGCGTCAGATCGATGGGTCTCTGAACAGGACCCCCCCTGGCTTCTATGACCGTGTGTGGCAAATCCTGGAACGCACACCCGATGGGATCATTGTGGCCGGCAAGTATTTGCCACAGGTAAGGCCCTACCACATTTCGTGAGGCAGAGACCTCCAAAGGGACCTAAAGGAGTTCAGCATGCTGCTTTGCTGCTTTCCAGTGTTCTGTGAGTATTCAGAGAAGGGATATCCAGAGGCTTACAGGGATAAGAGACCATGCTAGAGCTCAGCATGGTGGTGTAATCCCAGCACTTGGGAGTCTGAGGCAGGAGGACCACTGTAAACTACATAGCAAGACCCTGTCTCAGAAAACTAAATAAATATTGGAAAATAAGAAGTCCAGTCATTGGGGTTGGAAATATTTCTTGTGTCTGAGTTACTTTTGTTTTTGAATTTTTAGAGTCCCTCTAAACAAAAAAGCTTGCTTTTCTATCATATGCAGGTATCCCAAGAAAGCTGTCTTAAGAGGCACCACGTGGCCAAACCTCGCAGAGCGAGCTTTCCTTCCCTGTGGGCTTGGGGGTGAATTTCAGATAGTGGCTTTAGGTAGGGCTGTCTCCTTACCACCCAAGGTAGTGGTGGGCCGGTGCCGGGGGACCCCACAGTCAGTAAAGTGTATATTGCAAGAGAAGAATCTGGTCAGCCTGAGCAGCTAGGTCACACAGTAGATAAGGAAATCACTACATTGCATGTGCTGCTTGTATGGAATGTAAAAATGCAGTTAGTCAGTCACTTATTTTACCTCAGATAGTGTAACTTACCTGTGGTCCAGGTAAATGTCATTGTCCTTTCCTGTGTTTGGTTTCCCAAGTTACTTAAACTAGCTTGTTTCTTTGGTATGATTATGATCTTTATTTAATTCTGGCATCGAAGTTATTCTGCTTGTACACAAAAAAAAATAGTATATTTTTATTTCTAATATTGAAACTTGAAACAAATTAATTTTGGCATGGCTTTTTATACAGATAACATGTTTTCTAATATGAGTGTGGTGCACACACACCCTGCTTTTACTACTGCTTTTCTATTTGGCACTAGGGGTTGAACTCGTGACCTCACACTTGCCAGGCAGGTGTTTGTGCCACTGAGCTAATCCCCGGCCCTCACCCTTCCTTTACATATAAACAAGGATCCCCTTGGGCAGACAGGGAAATCGGTGTGCTCTTTTTTAAGAAGAAGGACTGAGTGTGTGTGGTGTGAACCTTTCAATGAAACCTTTTTAACCTTTCACGTAATTACGTGAATGTATTTCTTCCTCCAGCAGGAGAGTGAAAGCCTTTCGGTCAGAGATGGCAAGCCTTTTTGAACTTTCAGTGATAACCAAAGGCCCACTCAGCCCGTGTAGCACAGGCTCGCCAGCATTGCTTCACGTCACTCTGGGACTTCAGCTGGTTTTATTTACTTGCTGGTGTAGCTATTTAAGCCCTTCTGTCCATGCTATGCTGTGGGAGTGACCCTTTCTCCTGGAAGTACAGGCAGAGTCCCTGCTGTGAGCATCTGACGGCCTCTAGAAGCCTCATCCCTACCCATCCAGGCAGTGCCCTGTCTCAGCCCACTAATGTTTCCCTGGTGTCACTGATTCTCTGGTTAGCATCCTCCGTGTGCTAACAGTAACAGTAGATACATGCTAAATATTGGTATGCTGCATGTACTTTTCAAACGCACAGGTAATCATCACAGTAATTTTGTGGGAAAAGTGCTTTATTATTCCCACTTGACAATGAGGAAACTAAAGTACAGCCAAACGATTTCCCCAAGGTTACATCTAGTAGGTAGCAGGCCCAGGATTGACTCCTGGCAGTTTGGTTTCTGTCTTCTGTGCTGCACTTCTTAATCCTAATTCCTCTTAGATGAGTAGGTAGTAAGGCAAGTGTATTATCTCTCCTGTAGGCTTGTCATAGTTGCCTGGGGGCTCACATGATTTTAAATGAGATAGATTAAAAGGACATCAATGTAAAACCATGAAAGGATCTTCCTTCTGTTACTTTGTTAACCCCATTGTTAGACTTCTAAACAATTACAATAAGTATATTTGGTAACTGGGTTTCATGTTTTCCAAACTGGTAGTTTATGTGAACATCAACAACATGTTAGGTTATATGGACCGTCGATTCAGATGTACTGAGTACAGGACTGAGGTTACTACAGCCACTGAACAACTTTGCAATAACTTGATTGGAAGGGGACAGTCAAGGGACCCCTCAGTCCCATTTGGAATAGTAAGTAGATGCACACTGTTCTGAAGCCATGGTTAACATCAAGGTGAATCTTCAGTAAGACAAAAGCAGTTAAGTCTGTCTCCTCTCTGCTAGCGGTTCTGCTGATGACCTGTCCACACAAGTATAACACTTGAATTCTTCCGTCTCATCTTCTGAGAGTTGCTCACCCATGCCCAGATTTCAATTTGAATTTGAGTTTACTTCCTGCTTTTATTTGGTAGTGAAAAATGAATGGAAGATTGTATAATACTGTTGTCATAAATGGAAGATAAAGCTTAGAATAGAGAAAATTCTTTTAGTTGTGCTTTTGTTTTCTGTTTCCTTGCCATTTCTGCATATAATGCTGTTTTTCTTGCTTGTGTGTATTTTGTGCTACCAGCTCAGAAAGGACCTGTCACAGAAGTTATATGAATTCAGTAGCAAATGACTGGTGTGGTAAAATTTGACAGCTTAACTCCCCATCTTAATTGTGATAGCAGTACAAACTTGATTTGTTGTCTCAATTTTGGGCTGCCCCGGTCTTGTATTGAAGTGGCCTTCTAATATAGTATTTTCCTCTAAAAAATATTAATGAAGAGAAGTACTAAAAATGGGAGGTTTAATTTATTACAGTAATCAGCTTACTGGCTCCAGTAGTTTGACATATATAAAATCCGGTCATAGAAATGAAAATGCTCTCTAAGGTTTTATAGAAATTGAAAGACTATTGATTAGAAAATGAAATTCTTGTACTAAGTGAGAACCAGAGTATGACATTCAGCATCATGTTAATGTGGAGTTTTTTTTTTTTTTCAGCAACCAACCCTATCAGATATGACCATGTATGAGATGAATTTTTCTCTCCTTGTTGAAGACATGTTGGGAAATATTGACCAGCCAAAGTACAGGCAGATCATTGTGGAGGTTTGTATTTAAAAATACAGATTTCTGAAGGCATGCTTTCGGTCTACTCCCTGAAAACTAGCCTAGGAAAACTGCCCTGGAGAGGGTGAACTTCATCCCTCACTTACTCTCAGCTCTCAGCAGAGCCTTCCAGAAGACAGCCACCCTTGAGCCTAGCCAACGTGCACAGCAACTCAAACAGCGACAGCCCTCTGGGTGGGAAAACAGGGAGCCCTGCCTCTCGGTGGCACTCTGACCCCAGGCAGCAGGGGCATCAGCAACATCCCAGTGAGAGAAAAGGAGCTGTGTCTCTGTAATTTGTTTTCAGTTTTTCCCTGTGTACAGAAATAACACATTATTGTTCTAGAAAGTTTCAATAGTCTAGAAAATCATAGAAAACAAAAACTTTCCCAGCACCCCACCAGCAGGAGCTCGTCACAGTTGGTCTTTCAGAGGGCATCTTTGCAAGTACAGCTGTGTAGGACAGACATGGAACTGTGCTGTACCAGTGCTTTATGTAAGTTACGTGATAAAGTGCACAGGTACATGCACATGTGCCCTTTTTTACCTTAAAATTACCTCAGGTATATGATGAACTCCCAGATGACGCACTTTGTCTTTTCTCTTGGAATGTGTCCATCAGACTTTGTGTTCTGTTTTTTGTTTTTTGTGTGTGTTTTGGTTTTTGGTTTTTGACATCGAGGATGGAACTCATGACCTCAAGCTTACAAGGCAAACACTCGAGCCACTGAGCTAAATCCCCAGCCTAACTATGTTTCTTGAAGGTAGATAACATCTAGAACAGAAATGAGCAGCAAGTGGTAAACTGGATACATCACCTCCAGTAAGGCAGCATTTCTAGAGCTGCAGTCAAAGCTGAGTGCAATTCGACCTCATCTCTGCAGCCCCGAAACGTGCCAGACGGTTAACAGATGATGATCAGTTCCGTAGAACAGGAGAATGGGACTTGAGTCAGGGACAGATGCAGGTATTTTTTTTATTTTATTTATTTATTTTTTGTCTTTTTGAGACAAGATCTCACTATGCAGTTCAGGCTGGCCTTGAGCTCACTTTGTAGCCTAGCTGGTCTCAAACTTACAAAGATCTTCCTGCCTCAGCCTCCTGAGCGCGGGGATTACAGGCGTGAGCCACCATGCCCGGCCTAGATGCAGTTATTGAAAGGGCAAATACCTTCCTTGTGTGGTGACGTTACCCTCCTCCCACGATTAGTGCCTAACATTTGGGACCTAAAGTGGATTTAACTCCTTGTCACTGACCAAGTGACCACTGTTTTTGCAGAAGAAATTTCCCTGTAATGTTAGGGTTAGGGTTAGAGTTAGGGTTAGCAAGACCTTATGCTCCAGCTGAAGCCCTGCCCCACACGTCTCGCACATTGTGAGCCCTGGGTTTACTAGAAGGATTTCTTTTGGTTCTTTTAGGTTCTCTTGTGGAAGCATTTAAATAAAATATACTCAGAAAGATTTCAAATTAAGAATTAAGAGGTTTGTGTCCTGTTCACTGCTTAAAGAAGGACATATAACCCTTATCAGAAAGTGTTTGTCAGTCATTGCATAGCAGACACAAACTTTGTATGGAGAGTTTGTCATCTAGCATGAACATTACCACTCATGTAAATGTGTGGCATGGCCAGAGATGTTGATGCAGTAAACTAAGATAGTTTACACAGTCCAGTTAGTATTTACGTCATGAGAAGACCCCAGTTCAAGTATAAATATTTTTCAAAACAGCCAAGCCCTGAGAAATTTAGCAGCATCACAGACTTGTGCTCATTTTGAGGTGAGCAGACCTCACCCCTGAGGTGCCATGGCCCACTCTCTGGCTTCGCCCCCGCCCCCTTGCCTAGCATCCTGCTCAGCTGCACACTGCTTCGTGTCTTACCAACAAGGGTCGATGCCTAGCAGAGCTCAGACATGGGTAAATGGAGCAGGGCGTGTATTTACAGGGTAAGGAAGTGACTTTTCTAAATTACTAGTTTTGATTAAGTTATTAAAATAAATATACTTCTAGGGCCATATGCAATGAGAAATACACAATTCCTAATAGAACTTGTACTAGTGATTTTCAAAGTCAGGAAGGTTCCATCCATAGGTGATCTTTACCCTCACATAGAACACACTGTAGACTATCTTCCATCACACTGTAGACTATCTTCCATCACACTGATGAAGAATAAAAACATGTCCAGCATATGTCACTGCTCTGGTTCCTAACCGGCTTTCAATGTCTCTCTTTTCTAGTTACTAATGGTGGTTTCCATTGTACTGGAAAGAAACCCTGAGCTAGAATTTCAAGACAAAGTGGATCTAGACAAACTGGTAAAAGAAGCATTTCATGAATTTCAAAAAGATGAGAGTCGACTAAAAGAAATTGAAAAACAAGTAAGTAAACAGCTTTTTGTAGAAAGCAGCTTTGTCTCAATTCTTCAAAATATCCTTAATCTTTTATCATTTAGCTCATAAACCATTGCAAAGTACAAAATAAAGGCAGTCTGACTTCTTTGAGGAATTAATGTTACTTTTGATTTAATTACTAATTACTAATTGATTTAATTACTTCACCTATGAAGTTCAAACAAAACAATCTAGGAATAGATCAATTTTCTTTATATAGTTGGCAATTAAAAAAATTTTTTAACCAAGGAAGAGTCATTGATTTCAAAAAGCTATGAAATTAATTTCTGAGGAAGATGAAAATGCAAGCTGCATTGGTACTGTTTACTACCTAATCTGATTCCTTCTAGGCTCCCTGCCTAATATTTGATACTCATCTTTGTAAAGGTTTGCTAAGTAAATAAAAATTATCAGCAAAGAAGAGAGTACTAAAAATGTCTACTTCGTTTTATGTGCTAAGCAGATGCCTCAAGAAAATGAAAGAAAAACCCAGAAAGCTTGTATTTTCCATAAGGAAATCTTTATTTTTCCCTCTGGGCTGACAGTGATTTTACCTGTCAACTCTACACAAAATATCAAACAACTTGCTCTCTGTTTTCCTTTGTAGGATGACATGACTTCCTTTTACAACACTCCCCCCCTGGGAAAAAGAGGAACATGCAGCTATTTGACAAAGGCTGTGATGAATTTGCTGCTGGAAGGAGAAGTCAAGGCAAGCAGTGAGGACTCTTGTCTGGTTAGCTAGTGAGAAGGTAGAAGGGGCTCTGCTGAGACTGACTGTGCAGCAGTGTGTGGAGGTTCGTGCTACAGCTTCCTCCAGGCAGCCATTCACTCACTGCTTATGATGGTGAGGAGGTTGCCGTGGCCTGGCAAAGCAGTGGACCTCTTGCATGTCATCGCCAATCTAATGGTGAGAAATGTTTTAATCAAGTGATTCATCTTCGTCATTATGCCAGCTACAGTAGCCTTCTCTGGACAATAGAAATAGCTTATGAATTGAAAAATCATTGCTGCATGTTTTATAATCAAAGAGTTCATCAGAGCTGGACGTGGTGGTGCACACCTGATATCCCAGCACTCGGGAGGCTGAGGCAGGGAAGATCACTGTTCAAGAACAGCTTGGACTACATAGCAAGACTGAGTGAAAAGGAAGAGAGAGGAAAGGAAGAAGGAAAGAAAGGTGAGACAGAGAAAATACAGCTGCATTAAAATGAATCATTGCTCTTTAGACTGAACTTGCACCTTTCTGCCATTAAAATGAATTAGCCAACTAGTAATGCTTACTGTGAATCAAAAGGTACTGGAGAAGTGAGAGCATCTGGAAGTGGCACTGTCATGTTAGATGATGGTAGTGCGCATCCTGAAGGCCAAGGAGGCAGCTGAGTTTCAGAAACCGCGATGTTAGTATTTTAGTATATAAAGCAATTGTACAATTTTTACCTTGAGCACCTGACTGTGGTTTTGTGTTTGTGTGAGGTATCAGAATTGCACTGAAATCTAATATATAAATCTGTGCCTTATCAGACATTTTCTTTCAATTACCAATCAATACAGAACATATTTAGGCTGATTCAGAAGTATGTTAAACTTAGGACTATTAACCTTCTAAAAGCAAAATTAAATGTCATTAAATTTTATTTCTGAATTAATGTATCTGGACAGATTGCTTATTCAAGCTCACAATATTGAGTTTAATGCTCCTGAACATTCTCATCTAGTGGCTTTGGACATAGAGTGAAAAATAATCTGTAGTACTTACCATTATACATTTTTGCTATCAAATATACTTAAGCAAAATTAATAAAAATTAAAATATTAAACAGTTGAATTTTATGAATGTATTTCCTAAATGTTACAATGAAGTGCATTAATTTGAGCCACAGTCCCAAAGAGAATTATTTTTCTGGCCAGTCTTAAAGAGTTTCACCTGAGTAATCAGATTTTCCACATGAAGAGTCCTGTCCATTTGTAGAGTCCTAAAAGGATGAAGGGCAGGAAGACAGGAGGTTTCCATAACAAGGCAGTCGGCAGCAAAGTAGGGAGTGAGCACGTGGAGAAGTCAATTGGTTTCTCCTGACTTCAGGGTACTGCGTCTGGGTCTTCTGTAAGAAACTGTGTGCACACTAGGTAGGAGGGAAATAGAAAGTCCGACTTTACCAACTACCTTAAAAAGAGAAATATGAGAAAGAGAATTAAATCACTTCAACCAGTACATTAAAACAATTCACAATAAGATGGCCTTGAACAGTGAACCTAGTTTACAAAACTTAAGCATGAAGAAGAAAACAGCGTAAGCCTGAACCCCTGAAGAATCTGGGTCTGGGGAAAGTGGAATGGGAGGGAGAGAGGCGGAAGCAGGGAGAGAGGAGGGATGGAGGAGAGAAGGAAGCACAGGCTCTGTTGTATAATTTTTTGTTAAGTTTCTTTTGATTACCTGAGCCAAGTTGCCAGAAAACTGCTAAGTTGAACCAAACATTATTTGCAGAAGTATGTTAGCTTCTTTCTTAAATATTACAAATGTAAAATTGTTTTCCTCTGCTACTGAAAGCATTCAAAACCTGCAGCCCATGTATCAATTCTATGCTTTGATGATACTCAAAATTTATTATTCTGAAAGAGATTTTGGTATTTGTGAATCTTGAAGTTCACCTAATCAGAAAGCAATATGTATGTGCTTTCTGATCAGAAAAGCAAAAGGTAGTAAGAACTAGAACACAGGACTCATGAAATTTAGAAGTCCCATTGGGCCTGCCGAGCCCAAATGCTTTACCAGCTGCGCTGGAGGCTGACTGAAAATATTAGCACATTCTTTCAGACATGGCAAGATTTAAATCTGATTTAAAGCTTCCTCTATCCAAAGGCAGATTCACTGTGTAAGTTTATTGTACAAGCAACGTCTGTTGGAAACTCCTGGCTGAATTTCAAATTCAACTACACTTCCAAAGCATCATTTTAAGGAACACAATGTTTCCCCATATTTCCTGCCATTTTATTTAGGTCTTAAAAAGTCATGTATCAGTTTTTAAAAATCAGAATGGGATCATCTTGATGTCAAATTCAATATGTGATAAGTTCTCAGTGCCTTGTAGATGCCAATAAACATGTGTTGAGCACCTGAATACATTTAAATTTTCAACAGAACTCTTCAGGAGTAGATTCAGACATGCTGTCAGCTCTTTGTGAGCATGCATTTTGAATAGACAGCATATAAAAGTGCAAGAGTCAACATAATGTGAAAACAATTACAGCAACACAGAGAGACCCCATTTAAATCAGAGAGGCTGGAAGTAGAATTAGTAGCATGTGGCCAGATCATAAAAGCCCCCATCTCAGAAACTGGAAATGTGAGTGGAAAATCAGACCAGATCAGCAAAACACCTCCATTAGCATTCAAACAGTGGGAGCTGTACAGCCTCACACCATAAACTCTGTGAAGCACTAAGAAGACGGAAGAGCCACTGGAATTAGAATCCGGCTCCTGTCCTCTAGCCTCCACAAAGCGTACAGGACAAGGTTACTGAACTATGAAAGCCCTCATGAATTTGAAGAGAATCAGATGAGTGTTGGGTCACCATCAGTGGGAGGATATTCTTCCAGAGTTGCAGTCTTCCCCGCCTCACAGCATCCACTTTCTTCTCCAGCAGGGATCTGCCAGCCCCCAGATAGAGAAGAGACCATTTTCAGGCACCCTTCTAGGCACACAATGTCGTAAATGCAAGACAGAACAGCTCTTTGAGCAGGAGCAGCTTCACTCGAGGACCCAGCTCGAGTAAACTGGGTTTTTGCTCCCAGCTGCCCTCCCACTGGGCACCATGGGTGATGCACAAACCACATTACTGCCACTGTCCTGCTCCCCAAGAAAGGGAAAAGCTCTTTGGGGTGGCATTTTGGCTTTTCACCTGGGATGGAGTCTGATGAGCTGTAAAGGGTACCCTGATTCCCCAGAGCTGGTTACTTCCAGCACAAGCTCTTCAGAGAACTGGTGGCCTAGACCCGAGTCTTGTCACCTGGGAGGCTGGAGTTCGTGGGCAGTGGAGATTGGATTGATGACACTACCTCCACCCATTTTTTCCTGTTTGTTGTTTCAATGGTCTGACCTGAATTCAGTCTGCCTCTTCAGGGACCTAGGTCCTTTATCCAAGAACAATGACTTACATGGAGCATTCTGCCAAACAATAAACTCTGCTTTTCTTTGTGTTTGTTTCAAAACAGTAAACTTTGCTTTGGTGTTTGTGAGTTTGTTTGTTCATTTAACTTATAACAGAAATGATTGGTCTTGGGCAAATTCTCTATTCATCACTCCCATTTCCCAAGAAGTTTCCTCTGCACACCTAGCTAGCAAAGAAAAGTGTGAAGCAAATGCCTTTTGGCCCTTATATTTCACTAGGAGTTGAGATCTTAAAGCCAGGCTCGTCACCAGCCCATTTCCTCTCTACTTTCTGGTTTTTGTTGATGGTTTGCAGTACTGAATGGAGATCAGCCCAGGACCTCGCACATGCAGGGCTAGTGCTCTACCACTGAGCTACATGCCCAGCCTGTTCGTGGACTAGTATTTTTCTCTTGATCTTTCTGGCTGTCTAGCGCTGCATCCTCCTGAATTGGTCTTATTTCCTGTGAGGGAGAGACTTAGCTGGAAACAGCTAGAGTGCAGATTGGGCAGGCAGGAGTACAAGGAGCCACCCACACTGTAACTGGGCACTCATAAGGCTTTGCTAGTCATGGAGAGAAACTGCCTGTGAATTCTACAGAATACAGGAAAATGCGTACAGGACCTGTTCTGAAAGCAAATGTACTCTAGCATTCTTCACAAAAATGTCCTATACTCTAAAAGAAATTGAGGGGGAAAAATCAATGAAAACAGAACTCTACGACAATATAATGTGATAGAAAGGAAACCAGACCTTGGAAAACAAGTTTCATAAATTAGAGCAAAGGACAGAATCTACACAGTTGAAATAGAATAGGAGATACAAAGGAAAAACTTGAGATAGTTTCGTAAAGTACTTACCATCAATTTGGTTCTTCCAGCCACTGTTCTGCTGGGAAGGGGCTGCAAGTTTCCTCAGAAAACTACATTTTGTGTGGGTTTGTGTACATACAATGGCTTGTAATATCATGAATAAAAATAAGGCAGGTTGGAGAAGTGTTGGGGCTCAGAAAACAGTATCCCAAAGAATGGTACTTTGATACTGTAAATCTTTATACTAAAGGAGAACCAAGGTCTCTGACTCTCCCCGTGACTGTCCTGGAGCACAGGAAGGGGCATCTCTGACATTTCCCTGTCTGCCTAAGGTTGGCTCCCCCAGGAGACCGACTTACTAGAAGAAACTAGATTTGACACCCAGAGCCAGCCATCTTGTCCCCGACTGTTGTCTGTTCTTCAGGCTCCTTCATCCCCACTAAAGTCACTTACTGTCCTCTAAAACTGCTTACAACCACCACTTAGCTCTCTTTCATGAAGAAATGATTTAAGCTCCAAGCATCCGGTCCTCCTCTTAATTTTACCCTTTGTGTGACTCCCATGCGCAGACTCTTAAGAGCCCTGTGTTTGTAGGACCCCTGGGACGAGTCGTATTGATGAGGATGGAAAAGAGTAGAAATGGAGGGCAGGTGTGCTCCCAACAGAAAGAAACTGGCAGGAGAGAAGGCTGTAGTTAGCACAGGGAAAAAAGAGGTAAGTGAAAAATTCCCATACGTAAGAAACTAAATCTGCAGATAAAGAAAATGGATCATGTTTCCAAAACAATTCTGAAGAGAATGAGCAACACTGAAACACGTCTCAGAGCTGTTCCTGGGGAAGTTCAAGGCGAAAACGAAAGCTGAGCAGAGCCACTAAAGCTGGAGCTGTCCTCAGGGTGCAGGTTCTCCACACAAGTCCAACAGTCAGTGTGAACTGGGGTGGTTTACCTCAACCACTGTAAAACCAAGTAAAGAGTTTTTAAATATGCAAAGACTCTGGAATCAAAACAAATATGGGCCTTTCTGGAAGATTTTTTTACTAGATCTGCTCAACCAAAAGAATCCATGTAAAGAATGTGGTGGCAGAGACTTAATTTCTGTAAGAACTGTTTGTGCGTTCTGAATCCATTGAAATATAAAATTAATGTTAACAATATGAAGATGGAAGACTTCGAAGTGTAAAATAATAGAACTAATGGCCTGGGACAAAAATCCTAGCTCTTGTTGACAACTCAGTAAGGCTGAGAGGGAGGGAGTAAAATCGAGCTAATTTCCTTCCCTTTCACAGCAAGAAGTTAATATTCACTTCATTTTCTAAGGTTAATATGTCAAGAAATGAAGTTTTTAAGGTTTGCCATTTAAAATACAAAATAATTTGGAATTACCAGAAGAGTAGCGGGGTGGGGTGCATCAGAAGATTGGCTGTATGGCTCAAGATCAAAACAGTGAGAGCGCCAGATCCAGTACTGTGTAACCAGAACCCCACAAAAACATCAGACAACATGAATCAGCAGGGAAGTGTTCTTCTACTGTAGCCAGAATACGAGCGATTTACATCTGTGTACAAAACAAAACAGAAGCTGCCAGCTCTCCACCCACATCTGTGCTGTACGGTGCTCCAGGATTACAGTGGAGCCCTTGACTGCCCGGGTGTATTCCCCTGGAACCGTCACAGGATGTGAGCAGTGGTGACGCACCCAGGCCTTGCCTTATCCCTGGCTCCGCTCTGTTCCTGTTCCAGGACCGAGTGGCAGCGACGGCATCGCTTCGGTCTGGGCTCCAGACCCACTACAACACAGCCTCTAGCCTCTCCACACCCCACTCTGTGTATGGAACCCCTTTTATTGACACAAGTCGCTTCTGCCAGGA